AAGCCAATTAAACAATTCGAGGAAAACAAATAAAAGTAAACGTAAGAAAAATGATGCATGACATTTCTAAATGTTTGGAATATAGGGTAGTCGTTTCATTGGATTATGGAAGCTTCTCTTCTAGAAAGCATTTCAAGTCCATGCCTTTGAATTTTTTTTGCATGCATTCCTATCCCTGTATATTTTACGTCGTACTCATGAATGATTTTTGTTTTGTATAAAGTAATACGATACAACACGACACCTACTCTTAAACCCCGGATTTACACATTTACGTGTCCTAGGAAACTTTCTCAAGTATACTAATTAATGTTGACTGATTCATATTGAGTGAAGATATAACTTTCTCGAAGAAAGTTCTACCCAAATTAATTCTACTAAAACTTTTTGAACTATTAGAAAATGTCACAAATAATATTGGTGAATAGAGTAATAAGGTTGAATGATAATAAACGTAGACTTGTGATGAAAATTTTGAATGAAGAACATTAACTTGTAATATAAACTATTATAATTGTTCAAGGAGATGAACTTGAATAATATAAATAATCAAAGGTATTTATGTATATTTAGTATATTACCCTCATAAAATTACTAAAGAATAAAACTATAACCCTGAATCTTGCTTACAATTGTGAAGTTGTGGTGTAATGACAGGAACTTAGACATGGTACCAACATGATCCAAGTTCAAAACCAACTGAGGAATACGTTAAAGTGGATTTAAAAGTTTTAGCCCATAAAAAAACAACTCAATATGCCGAAACGTATTAGGATCCTCAAGGAAGTTTGAAATTTTCCTTTTTTTTTTTGGGTGCAGTGGTGACAAGGTTCATTGACAATAATAAAATTAGTAAGGTGTCCTCAAATCTCTGGTTCGTGTCATATTCATGGGATATCAAGAAGATTGACATCATGAAATTATTCCTAGTTAGATAAACTTTAACAAGATGATTCCATCAGCATAACAAATTAAAAGGAGAGACAACGTGAACCATGGAAAACTAAGCTTGAAGCCTAAGGAAGGCTCCTTTCAACAGAAGCCTTAGCATTTCAAATGAAGTCATTAAAATACTTATAACTTGGTCAAAATTCCTATATTTTATTGTGACCACTGTAGTTCCCAACATCCCCCACTGCAATAAATAAATCCCCCCTCAAGAGCTAACTACCAACCGCATTCATCACCTTTCAGTATTCCTTCACACTCTCTCAAATTTGTTTCCTACCTTCTCCCCATTAATCCCCGTGAAGCGAAGACATAAGAAGAAGAAAGAGATGAGGATGGATTGGAGCAAATATGTGTTTATTTTTGTGGTTATATCTCCTTTGCTTCCGCCGAGAGCAGTTGGAGATTTGTACACTCCTCTGAGCCCTATGCTATCTCCTCTTCTGAGTACTGCTCTTATCTCTTGGTTTAATTATTTCTCTTATTAATTAGTGTGTTCTGATAATTTCATGACATGGTCAATCTTGTACTATTTTAGACTTACCCTTGATACTCGGATCGTAGAGAATTAACTATAAGCTAAATTTGCTCAAATAATTGTTCATATTCTCAAAATGATAAAGTTGTCTGCTCTTTTTCCTCCCTTTTCATTTCAAGAAAAGTTTGTCCCTTTCTTTGCTTTTTTTGTGATCTCTGTGGGGAGAGCTTTTAGAGCCTTTTGCGACTTCTTTCTCATGTGGATCAACAGTTCTTCTAATGGAGCCTGCTCATTGAAATGGATGCTAGCTTCAAATTAAAACTAGTTCTAGGATTTTGTAGTTTTGACTAACATCACTTCAAAAATGTTGTCTCTTGAATTAAAGCTCTCCTCCTAGATGTGTGGTTTTTTTTTGTGAGGATATTCCAAGTGGAGTTTGTCCTGCTTAGTCACATGGATCATCTCTAATTTCTAGCCGGCTGACATGCTCTCACCTTTAATTTGGAATCTCTCACTGTTTTTAGCCTAACTAGAAATTAAATATCTTATAGGTTACATAACATTGCGCTTATATATATATATATATATATATCCTATCTTTTTTTGGCATTTAACTACCCTAATTTTCCAAAGTAGCACGTTACTACCTTCTGTTAAACAATCAATGGAATAGACACGGTAAAAATTGGTCAATTACACCCCTAAAGTTGCTTGAATGAACTGAGAGCCTTATCTTATTGTATGTTGAAAATGAGACGAGAGGGATTAATTTCTTAGATCATTCGAACAACTTTAAGGGTGCAATTGAGGAATTTTTAATATGTGAAAGCCGTAGGAGAATACTCGGGAGCATATCCCGATCCTTGACTAACAGATCGAAGAAGGCAGTAACATGCTTCGTTAAAAAAGAATACAGTACTCAAAATGTCGCGATAAGATAGGGTATATAAGTACAAAGTCATGTAAGCTATATAAGGTCTTTAAGTCGAATGTTTGTTTTATTTTTCAACTTAATTAATTTATGGTTACGTTTTTGATTTGGTCTTGCTTATAGATGGTGTATGTAACGTTGTGGATTGTGGAAAGGGGAAATGCCAGGCATCTTCAAACCACACTTTCGGGTTTGCTTGCCAGTGCAACCCGGGATGGACCCAGTTCCACGTCGGTGACAGTTTTCGGTTCCTTCCTTGCGTCGTCCCAAATTGTAAGTTTGTCTCACTCGTTATGAAATTTGATATGAGTTGGACTAGCATAGCCAGTCTCACCATTGGTATTTTTTGGTTTATATATACATGATAGGGCAGTATGCCTTATTTTCATTCAAAAAAAAAAGTCTCACCATTGGTCTGTCTCTTAATATAAAATTTAACAAAATGAGTTGATGCTTCATACTGTTTTTTGTACCAAGGGTATGAAGTAACAACTCTTTTACTAAATAAGCCACTGAGAGAGAGAATAATAGCGACGTTGATCTTTCATTCACATCAGAACAAATGGATCTCACCAATCATATTACTTAATCACTCATTTTCTTAAATAAGGTCATAAATATTAATATACTCACATGCGTATACATTAAAATGCATGATTCAAAATATAGACAGAAATAAACGGGATAGATTTCTCAAAAAAATTATAATTTTGCATAATACTTATTTGAATCTTATAATTGTTTTAGCCATCCTATTCTTAAATGCTTAAATATAACACTAGAACAGAATAAGTTAGGTATATGTTGCATTCGAAGGTTTGGCCCTTGGTTGGATACATGTGTTTTGTTGCAATAGAATTTGGTTCCGATTAGAATATCAATATAAGCTAGGTTCATATGTAAAACATCAAAAAGAATAGATGTAATCATCAGCTAAAGTGAGTGAATTAATGGTTGATGTATATTTTGGAGAAACCTTGATATAAATGTATTGAGTCATATTTACATCACTGGACAATCATCGATGAAAGTGAGTGAATAACTTGTCCATGTCAATTTGCAAGAAACCTTGATTAGTTGAATTTATGTCAAATTTACATAACTGGACAAAGAGTCGAAATTTACAATCTTCTAATGTTTTCTTCGAGGTTTTGTACATTGTTATCTTGAAATTGATCAAATAATCTCTCTTTTATCTGAAAGATGGAAATAATATGTGTACGCTCTTTTCAGGGAAAGAAACTTTTTTAAGTAGTGTACCCTTCTTTTAATTTTCAATTGCAATTTATTTATTGATAGCATTTCTACTAATGACAATTTGAGAAAAGAGTTTAAACTTAATTTAAAAAGTGAACAGAGGAAATAGTTACTGTTTGTATCCTCAATTTTGAGTTTCTACTGTTACTGTCTTTTTGCCATTTAATTTGTTCAATTTTAGTAATGATGTTTCTTACCGACCACAAATCTAAATTTTCATCTTTCTGTATAAAATTCTTAACTAATGCTCTTCAAACTTCCCTGAATTTATTTTCAGGTAGCATCAACTACTCTTGCACCAACAATTCGGTGGCACCCGCACCAGCTCCTGTTCCACCACCTCCTGACAATCTCTCCATCTTTGACCGTAATTATCTTCTCTTTCCAACCTCAATATCTTTGAATAAATTCATGTGTGTGTGTGTCTATATTTGTGTGTACACATACATGCATCTATATTAATATGTATATACATATATAATATAGAGAAAACACTTCTTTAAACTTAAATGGACTGGGACTCTGTCTGTCATATTTTAATCCCTAAAATTTGCTTTGAGATGTGTGTTGATGTGAGAAACATTAAGGGGCTGTTTGGTTGATGTATTTGGCATTGGGGGTTGGGCAGAAAGCCTGCCAAAAGAGCACTTTTGGCAGGTTTTCTACCCAACCCCCAATGCCAAATACATCAACCTTTGTGTGATATATAGACACACACATATGTATGCGGACACATGTACAGGGAGTATGAAACTACCACAAACTTAATTAAGTGGACTGAGACTGAGGGCTCTGTCCATCAATGTTGGTTATCCCTTTTATTTGCTTTGAGATGTGTGTTGAGTCTTGAGAAAATGTAGCGTTAGGGGCTGTTTGGTTGATGTATTTGGCATTGGGGGTTGGGCAGAAAGCCTGCCAAAAGAGCACTTTTGGCAGGTTTTCTACCCAACCCCCAATGCCAAATACATCAACCAAACAGCCCCTAACGCTACATTTTCTCAAGACTCAACACACATCTCAAAGCAAATAAAAGGGATAACCAACATTGATGGACAGAGCCCTCAGTCTCAGTCCACTTAATTAAGTTTGTGGTAGTTTCATACTCCCTGTACATGTGTCCGCATACATATGTGTGTGTCTATATATCACACAAATTATTTCTAATTGTTTATTACTATCTTTATTCTCCGAAAAAGCATGTATGTGGTCCTATTGTGGTGGAGGCAAGTGCTTGAACACTGCGACCTATGAGCACAAATGTGAATGCGATGAAGGCTACAGCAATCTCTTCAACACCTCAACTTTCCCTTGTTATAAAGATTGTAAGGCATCTATTATCATCTTTGATAAGGCATTTTATTACCATCTTTAAAAAAAACACTAAATAGATCTATTAACTGAATTGTCTACTTGGCTCGGGTTGCAGGTTCTTTAGGTGCAGATTGTGCAAATCTTGGCATCAATGTATCAAATTTGACTAAATCTGCGTCTCCATCCAGTCTACCTGCAGATAATAGTACTTCAGCTGCTAGAGGTGAGGAGAGAAATAGATTGAGTTTAACCTACATATATAACAAAGTAAGGGTAAATTCTTTTTGGGTTTTGCAAAACCACCTTAAACTTTTAAATCAGAGAAAACCCCTTCAGAAATATAATAAACCCTCTAAACTAGTTGAAGATCTCATAAACAATGTCAATAAGTAGAGTGATCGATAAGTCTGATTTATGAAATATCTCGTGAGGCAAAATTTGAATGAAGAGAAATACAAGAAATAAGTCATATTTTGAGAGTTTTTACTCTACGTCAACATTAATGTTGTTGTTAAGAGGGTCTAATATAATTTTAAATTTCCATAGGGTCTTCTCTAATTTATAAAGTTCTGGAGAGTTTTGTGCAAAACCTGCAGTTGTTAATGTGGTTTTTAGTGAAATTTACCCATGAAATAAAGCAGTTAACATTGCACCTATTCTTATTGCTTGGGCTAATTTAACATTTATTTTCTTGTGTAATTTTTACCAGATCTATCTTCTCCAAACAACTCGATACTTTTGTCTATCTTCTTTATCTCGCTTGCGTTGGCTCGATTGATATAGACAGCACATACAGCGCTCTGAGGCTGATACTATGATTGTTATTAATATAGATTTTAAGCTCTTCTTGAGATTAGCTATACCTCATGTTAGATGATATTGTTCCTTCTCGTTTGAGATTTTGTGCAGTTAGCTGGTAGAATAGTTGCATACTTGTTTTGATTGGCTTTGTACTCCAATCCATTGCATGGACTGATTGATGAATGAGGATTTGGATAAAATAAATAAAACATTCTTATACAGAGTTTCAGAGTAATTTTTTTAATCAAGATAGTGTATGTTCCTCTACTTTTAATGCTGAATTGAGTAATCAGAAAATTGTTGGAGGAGGTTTTTTTTTTTAAGGGATAATTTGGGCCAGCCCAATTTTATTGACTATGAAGGGATGAGATTCCCGTGTAACAAGTACGGGGGCCAAAAAACGCTACCCAAGTTTGGTGGCACGAAAAGGAGATTAAACCGAAGAAAACATTTACAGGCTCTCTATAAAAAAATCATGTAGTAGGAAGGAAAAAGGTCCGTTGATCAAAATAAAATGATTTTGTTCAAAGTTTTTTGTGAAGTTTCCAAAGTTGGACATCAATATGGGAGTCTTCAACTAGATACAATAGCATGGAATGTTGCAGAATTGGAAAATCTTTGTGTGTGAAGATACTGTTAGGAAATACCCGGGGTTACGCTAAACCCCTAAAAACAGCAGAAACGTGATATAGAGAAAAGTAAACCAAGATTTACAAGGTTCGGTAAACTTGCCTACGTCCCCGGGAGCCACACAATTAATTTCTTATTAATCAAAGAATTTACAGTAAAAGAGCAGATCTCAAACTTAAGATCTTTCAATAAATACAAATCAATACTGTAGCTACAGTATTGATTCCAACTCTTTAATTCCCCCTCAAAATAACCTATTGAGAGCTGAAAAAAGATCCCTACTTTAATTCTCAAACCCTCTTCTCTTTTCTCCTCTTAAAATGCCCCCCTCATATCTTTTTGAGCGCTGGAGGAAAAAGGTCAGGAGAGAAGAAAGAGGATCGTCGTCGCCTGGGGAGAAATCACGAAGGAGCCAAAGGAGAAGCCACGGTGTCTAGGGCACAGGGTTCCCTTTTATAGGGAAACCCTAGCTGAGCAGTCGACAGCCTGTCGAAAGCCTGGATCCCATGCTCGAGTTCGCCTGCGAACCTCCCTCTCCTACGCTACATTCGAGCTCGCCTGATGTTGACCACGAGCTCTCGTGCAACCTCCGCTCGAGCTCGCCAATTGTTCGACCACGAGCTCACCTGAGCTTCGACCACGAGCTCTCCTGAAGGAGCTTCTCGCCTCCCGCCTCCAGCCAGCCACTTCGACCTCGCCTGCAGCCAGCGACCTCGATTTCGCCTGCATCGAGCTTGCCCACTCTTCGTTGATGACCTTGCCTGATTTTGAGGTTTGGTCTTCACACCCAAATCCAACAATCTCCCACTTAGAGACCGAACCGCCGTCAACAGGCTATCTTAACAAGCACTTACTCCTGTGTGGCTTTGCCCTCATCACTTATGCATGAAGACCAACTGAAGTTGCGCACAACTCCAGTTTCTAAATAGTCACCGCTTTTGTTAACATATCTGCTGGATTCTTACTTCCTGGAATCGTTTCCAGTTTCAACACGTCATCTTCCAACAAGGATCTGATGAAGTGGTATCAAAGCCCAATATGCTTCGTTCTAGAATGAAATGCGGTATTCTTAGCCAAGTGTATTGCACTCTGACTATCACTGTGCAAGACATTCATCTCCTGATTGAATCCCAGCTCTGTTAACAAACTCTAAAGCCATATCATCTCTTTACTGGCTTCAGCCACTGCTACATACTCAGCTTCTATATTGGATAGAGTGACAATCTTCTGTATTTGTAACATCCAACTAACAGTTGTAGTTCCGACAGTGAACACATAGCCAGTGGTGCTTCTTCAGTGATCGACTTCACCTTCAAAGTCTGCATCTATGTTCCCTTGCACTTCCACCTTTTCCTTACCAAAGTGCATACACTTCTTTTGGTGTCTCGTAGATATCTCAGAATCCACTTGACCGCTTCCCAATAAACTTTTCCTGGATTCAACATGAACCGGCTGACCACTCCCACTACATGGCCAATGTCTGGTCTCATACAGACCATTGCGTACATCAAGCTTCCAATGGCTGAGGCGTAAGAAACCTTAGCCATACTCTCTTTCTCTTCTTCTAACTGAGGAGAGTGATCATTTGATAGGCGGAAATGGCTGGCCAATGGTGTGCTCACTGGATTGGCATTGCCCATATTGAATCTCTGCAAAACACGGTTGATGTACTTCATCTGAGATATCTTCAAGAGACCTCTCTTCTTTTCTCTCGTTATTTGCATCCAAGGTTCTTCTTTGCTGGACCCAAGGCCTTTATATCAAACTCTTTTGACAATTGCTACTTTAAACTCTTGGTATCCTCCATATCTTCACTTGTGACCAACATATCCTTAATATACAATAGTAGGATGATATAACTGGATTGATATCTTTTGAAGTAACTACAATGGTCGGCATTGCACTTCTAGAAACCTTCCTTGTGCATAAAGCCGTCGAACTTTCTGTACCACTATCTTGGGGTTCGTTTCAAGCCATACAAGCTCTTCTTGAGTCTGCACACCATGTTCTTCTTTTTTTCTTCCGAGAAACCTTTTGGTTAGTGCATTTATATCTCCTCTTCTAGATCTCCGTGAAGAAACATCGTCTTCACGTCCAACTACTCGAGGTGAAGATCTTCAATAGCTATAATATTCATCACTGTCCTGATAGTATTTAGCTTCACTACGGGAGCAAAAATGTCGGTGTAGTTAATTCCTTCCTTCTGCTTGAATCCTTTGTCAACTAACCGAGCTTTATATCTTTTGGAGCCATCCTGCTCCTCTTTCACCCGATATACCCATTTGTTATGGAGTGCCTTCTTACCCGTGAGCAACTCAGCTAGTTCTCACGTCTGGTTTGAGATGAGAGACTTCATCTCATCTTTCATGGAAATCTCCCACTTGCTCGCATCTCTACTCTAATAAGGTTCATCGTAGCTTTCAGGCTCCTCTCTATCTGTCAGCAACAGACAGTTCATATATCTCCTGTTAGGCACAGGAGGACGAGAAGATCTTCTCAAAATCAGAGCTGGTGTGTCTGGCTCATGCGCACCGTTCTGTTCAACATTCTCTTCTGGCTAAGGACCTTCTGCATTGGGTTCTTCCGAGGGTTTACTCGGGACATCATCTGCATCTACAAATATGGACTCGCTCTCTGAGTCATCTGTCTTATGCATGTCCTTATACATCATATTCTCGTTAAATATCACATCTTTGCTCCTGATCACCTTCTTATTTTCTTTTTCCCAAATGCGGTAGCTGAACTCATCTTCACCATAGCCGATGAAAGTGCATTTCTTTGACTTGGGATCAAGCTTATTCTTACCTTGATCACTAATATGCACATAAGCTACACAACCAAAAACTTTGAGATATGAGAGTTTTACCTCCTTTCCGCACCATACCTCCTCTGGTATTTTATGCTTCAATGGAACCGATGGACCTCGGTTGATCAAGTAAGCTGTTGTGTTGACTGCTTCTGCTCAGAACTGCTTTGGTAGGTCTGACTATATCCGAATGCTTCTTGTTCTCTCTGTCAGCGTTTTGTTCATCCGCTCAGCTACACTATTTTGCTGAGACATGCTAGGCACGGTTCTCTCCATTCTGATCTCGTGCTCATAGCAGAACTTCTTGAATCCGGTGTCTTCATACTCACCACCATTATCAGTCCTGAGCTTATTTATTCTCAGACCGGTCTCATTCTCGGCCATGGCTTTCCATCTCCTAAAAGCCTCAAATACTTCTGACTTATGCTTCAGAAAGTAGACCCACACTTTTCCGAGAGTGATCATCGATAAAAGTCACGAAGTAGTGTTTTCCACTAATGGACGCGGTGGTGGTTGGTCCCTATACATCTGAGTGAATGAGCTCTAGCTTCTCTTTCCTGGGAATTCTGCCACTTGTCTGAAAGCTGACTCTCTTCTGCTTTTCAAGTATGCATTCTTCCCACATGTCCATCTCCACTGACTACAGTCCTGGGAGTTTTCCTATTGTATGCATGATTTTCATCCCCTTCTCACTAATATGACCGAGTCTCTGGTGCCACAACTTTAAAGTTTCATTGTCTGCTGCAACTAAGATTAAACAACGTGCACCTGTTGTCATATATAGAGTACCAGTCTTCTTGCCTCAGGCAATCATCATTGTGCCCTTTGAGATCTTCCAATCATCTCCATGGAAAGTCGTAGTGTATCCTTCGCCAGCTAACTGGCCTACGGATATTAAGTTCTTTCTCATGTCGGGAATATGTCTAATATCCTTCAGCTCCCATACTGCCTCGTTCAACTTAATTTTCACTACACCTTTGCCCACAATAGCACACAGTTGATCATCATCAATGTATACATATCCAAGATTTACGGGAACATGCTTCTCGAATAATTCTTTCTGAGAAGTAGAATGGAACGACGCTCCTGAATCTAAAACCCAAAATTCCTCCTTGCTTTCCAAAGAGCATATCAATGCGTCGTCTCCTCCTGGGGTGGAAGAGACATTCACCTCTATCTTCGCCTCCTTCTCCTTCTGTGCACACTTACACTGATTCTTATAATGCTCGATCTTTCCATAATTTCAACACTCGATAGCCTTCGAGCTGTTGCTTGGATTACTTGACTTGGACTTCCCGTCTTTTGATCTACCTCTGTAGTTTAATTTGTCTCATCCGTTCCCTCTGGTTGACTTTCTATCTTTTGACTCTGTATGCAATACTAAAGAGGTTGTAGCTTCATCTGACTCTCTTCGTCGGATCTCCTCACTAAGAACCAGATCACGAACGTCGTCGAACTTCAACTTATTGCTTCCCGATGAGATACTCACAGTCGTGACTATAGCATTCCAGCTTTCTGGTAGGGAAGACAAAAGGGTCAACGCTCAAACTTCCTCATCAAACTCAATTTCAACTGAACTCAATTGGGTTATGACCGTGTTGAGTTCATTGAGGTGTTGTGCTAATGACGCGCCTTCTGCCATTCTCAGGTTGAATAACCGCAGCTTCAAATGAACTTTGTTA